ATATATATATAATATAAAAGTCTAACTTTTGAAAGTGGATATCTTGATAACTTATTAGAGAGAAATACCAACCGGTTTCGAGTTTCGCAACATCGGTACCGCGATATTTGCCCCGCGACGAATTCGAGCAACAAATTTCATCGATCGTTCGATCGGTTTCGAAATCGGTTTCTCACTCAGATGTCCCGGATATCGAGTGGAGACGATGTCGCGCGATTTCCATCGCGCGGAGCGGCTTGATATTCGTGTTAGTGGGCGACCTGGACAACTGTCCGATCGGCCGATTTCTCGAAACAATTTTCCTCCATTATCGGCGAAATCTGTTTTCCTTTTCGGGAGAACACGTTCGGCGAGTGGAGGAAAAGCAGGCGCGCGAACAGTTTCTGTCGCGTTTCTAGGATTTTATTCGCGTGGATGACATCAGTTGCCGCGAACGAGGACGTGACAGAAATTTTGTTCGCCGGTTTCACGCGGTATACCGTTACGAGCACAAGGATCGGCCGCTTCGGCGGCGACGCGATGCTCTCATATGGCAGCTTTCGAGGTGTCAACGTTTTCTTACGTAACTTTTTGCTCGTTGCCTCATCATTTCTATTCGATCGTATTGTTTCACGTTGATCGTTCAGCCGTGATCTGTTATCGAGACTCTTCCCTGAATATTTAGATGGCTGAGCGTGGTTTCTACCTGAAGAAAGGCTCTCGTGCTTCGAGAAATTCCGCAGGACGAATCTCAGTGAAAGAAGAAGAAGAAGAAGAAGAAAAAAAAAGAGTAAACGATGCGTGAAAAAGAAGCAAGACTCACCGGTTGTTGTCTGAATAGGCGTCTCGACGTCGACGGTCGACGACAACGCGACGACCCCGCCTATCAGGCAAAGTCCTGCGATCGCGCGCAGAAAACATCCTTCCTGGATACGCATCCTACCGCATTCTTCTGTCACACGGTCCCTCGGAAACACCAATGTCGCTGAAACACCAACCGTGCACTCACACTGTCCGATATATATATATATATATACTGTCACGAATCTACTGCGACGAACGTGTCCCGATGAAACCGAGGAAAGACAGATAGATCCGTCTGTCTCTCACGAATTGTCAATGAATAGGAAAGCGTGTGGTTGCCAAGGGGCACGAAACGAAGTACGCGCGGTTCACTCACTCGGTTCGTTGCTGAGTCGGTTCCGTGGTCGCGATCCGTGCCGAGGCCGGAGGTGAAGTGCACCGGTGAGCGGGATTTACCTCCTCCTTGGCCGGTGTTGGCGTTGTTGCCTCGCTTACCTTTCATTCCTACTCTCCGGCCAGCCGGAGAATTCTCCACGCTCACCTTGCTACAGGCCCGGCCACGCGATTCTACAGGCTGTTCCCGCTTAGCTGGACGATATATCGAGGCTTTCAACACGTGCCTCCGATCTCGGTATCCCTCGTGCTTGCTGCACACACGACCACACACGGCCTATTTCCACCCCCCTCCCTCCCCTACCGTATGTTTTGATCGTGGCTTCCTTGGAGATCTCGCCTCCTCAAAAGTTCGTCCTTCTGAACGATAATCAACTGGTCTATTGGTC